TATATAGTTTCCAGTCGTCGGGTAGGTGGTTATATTATATCAATATCTACGGTGTTCCCAGTATGGGAACACTTTAAGATTCTATTTTCAATTTATATAAATATTTATAGTGAATTTAAATTCACTCGAAGAAAATAATTGCACACTGGTTGTAGTAGGTAGGTACTATTAGCGTTAAGAACGGCGACGTATATGCGCTCGTAAGTCTATCACAGAAGTGAGTGCTGGTGAGGTGAGGCAGGGGGCAGCAAACGGACCACGGACCGGTTGTCGAGCGTTGCAATACAATAGACAACAAGTACCTGCTTGACGAACGCAATAACTATCATATTTGTATATTTAGCGATGCTACAGTGTATGGATGGGTGTATGGATGGGTGTATGGATGGGTGTATGGATGGGTGTATGGATGGGTGTATGGATGGGTGTATGGATGGGTGTATGGATGGGTGTATGGATGGGTGTATGGATGGGTGTATGGATGGGTGTATGGATGGGTGTATGGATGGGTGTATGGATGGGTGTATGGATGGTTGTATGGATGGGTGTATGGATGGGTGTATGGATGGGTGTATGGATGGGTGTATGGATGGGTGTATGGATGGGTGTATGGATGGGTATATGTATGGATGGGTGTATGGATGGGTGTATGGATGGGTGTATGGATGGGTGTATGGATGGGTGTATGGATGGGTATATGTATGGATGGATGGATGGGCGGATGGATGGATGGATGGATGGATGGATGGATGGATTAATGGATGGATTTATGCATGGATTTATGTATGGTTGGATTGATGGAAGGATGGCTTGATTGATCTATGGATGGAAATTTAGATGAATGGAGGAATGGAAGGGTGGTTGGGTGGATGTATGGATGGATGAATGGAAGGATTGCTGTATGGAAAGATTGCTGGATGGATGGATGGACGTATGCATGGATGGATGGGTGGATGGATGGATGTATGGATGGATGGATTTATGGATGGATGGATGGTTGGATGGATGGATGGGTGGATAGATGTATGTATGAATGGATGGATGGATGGATGGATTCATGGATGTATGCATAGATGGATGCATGGATGTATATATGGATGGATTTATGCATGGATTTATGTATGGTTGTATTGATGGAAGGATGGCTTGATTGATCTATGGATGGATGGAAGTTTAGATGAATGGACGGATGGATGGATGAATGGAAGGGTGGATGGATTGACGGATGGATGGATGAATGGAAGGATTGCTAGATGGATGGAATGATGGATGGATGGACGGACGGACTGATGGATGGATGCTGTACAGTGCGTGAGAAATTTCTGTTTTAATCTTGATCTTGATCATTATTTAAGGGGGGATATTGGCCAGTTTGACATGAACGATAACAGCTGATTCAGATAATTGGTCTAAATCAGATAGCATTTTCCACCAAAAATGAACCACAGCCATATTATAACGATTCTTAGTTTTGACCCCGGGCAATGTATGTGATTTTACAACGCGGAGTATCGCGCGCGGTGACACGTCAGAATGTACGTAGGGACGATACCGTACATAGCAAAACGTTATTAATACGTGATATTCATGTCAGGTTTAATAATCTAATCTAATTTATAATAATTAATAATCTAACAGTACATACATAACGACGAAGCGAATTGGCGGGAACCAAGCCTTGCACTTTATGAATATGGTACAGAAGTTGGAAGTTTGTTAAAATCCTTCGCCACAAATGTCGGCACGTCGTATGGATCGGTCTACTTCAGCAGCGTCATAATGTCCTGCGGGCCTAAAGAATGTAACTTCCAAAAATTTACAGCAGAACAGAATGAAAGTAAATACATAAGAGACGTTTTCTTTCGCATAGGCGGACTGGTGTCACCTGTAATACGTCAAAGACTGTTAGAAAATAGTACTTTAACCTTAGATGTGGCCTTACAGCAAGCTCAATCACTGGAGTTAGCAGAAATTCATAATCAGAATTATCTACGTGACACTAATCCTGTAATAAATAATACTAATAACTGTTCTAATATTCCAGTTTTAAAGAATTCTGTGTCTGCTGACGATAAGAATACTGAAGTCACCGTTGTTGCAATGCCTAATGATAGAAATACGTTTGAGTCTTGCTATTTTTGTGTAGAAAAAAAAAAAAAAAGACATCCACGAAGATTCTGTCCTGCAGCCAGTTCAATGTGTCTTTATTTGGTAAGAGGGGTCATTTTGCTAAAGTCTGTCGAAATAAATCTCAACGCAACGCAGCTACGTCCAACTAAAATCAATCAATCGAAACACTCTCCTGCATACTATCTAGCTTTCTTTTCAAGAACACTTTCTGCTACCAAAAGGGGTCACCCTGCTATTGAAAAGGAGGCCTCAGCAATTATAGAGAGTTTGAGAATATGGAGACAATTACTAATAGGACGAACGCTGAAATTAAACCTAGATTCATAAAATCTTCTGGGACTTTAATAAAGGCTACAACACCATTTGAGCGAATTCCAAGGCCTCTTCCAAGTAGAACTCAAAATAAGTATATTTTAGAATACTTTAGAGTAGATGAATATTCTCGTTTCCCATTTGCCTTTCATGTCCAGAGCTGAAACCGTTGTAAGGAAATTAACTCAATTTTTGAAGTACCCACCTTTGCGCATTCTGATCGAGGGACATCCTTTGTCTCATCAGAATTAAAGGATTTTTTATGTAGCTTAGGAGTAGCTACAAGTTATTTACATATCACCTTATAATCCTCAAGGGAATGGCCAAACAGAGCGTTATAATGGCATTATTTGGAAAACTATTCGACTATCACTTATGTCTCTTAAGCTACCTATAAGTGCTTGGGAGTCAGTTATTTACCCAAACATTACATTGCATTCGTTCATTATTATGCACCAGTACTGGGTGCATGACAGAATGTTTTCTCAGGCTGAGGTCCTGAGCGTGCGATCACGCGACACATATGAGCACCAATAAAAAAGGTGGATACTCCACCCCTATGTAATTTAATAAAAAACGTTATGTTGCTGCAATAAACGCTACATAGAAGAGGTCACAGTTTCATTTAAAATAAAAAAAAAACACTCTTCCTAACCAAAAAACAAATTAACAGGAACAGATTTGAAAGACGGGATAGTAACTTTGATAAAAACATTAGTCACATCGTCAGAGTATAAATTTTGAAAAATTCATCATATATTTTCAATGGCAGTTGGATAAAGAATTGCCTCAAGATTTTTGGACGAGTCTATTTCAAAGATACCTTACAAGGTTTCATCATAGGTGTAGATATAGGTGGTCATACCATAGGCCGGAGATTGGGGTTGTAGTTTTAGTTAAGGGACATGACTTGCCTACCAGTCCATGGCTGCTCGGAGAGTGGTTGCTAAATATCCAGGTAAAAATAACATCACTCGGATACCTAGTTGCTATTAGAAATCAAATTTCACTACTTAAACGCCCTCTTTCCAATTTATATGTACTACCTATTGAAGAATAAATTGTGTTAGCTGTAACTTCCGCTGGTGGCGCCACCGTCGTGCGGCGCGTCTATAAAAGGCTGCGAAACCCGGTGCGCGGCCTCTTTTGGTCGACAGACGTGCTCTCGTATTTGCTTTATAAATTCTTGTACTGATTTTGTTAAAATTAATTATACGATTTCTTTTATTAAATTTATAAATTTCTTTTATTTAATTAAATTTAGAGGTCATTCCTAACAATTGTTTCTCTTTTAATAGTGTTGGTTAATTATTTAGTTCATTTTATGAGCCCTACCATCTATAGTTGACTTGTGTATGATATGAATATGTTATTGGCCTACATTGGTTATTACATAGGGAAAAATTAAATAATTGAATTGATGATATAATTGAATGACATTGTATGATATAAGAAAAATCTTACCTTTATACCTTAGAATTATACCTTTTTAGTATTAGTATGAGATGTAGATGTTTTTAAAATAAAGTTTTAAAAGGTTACAATACGTTTTTTTCCCAGCTTTGTTCAAATTTTTAAAAAGAAAGTTTGCATCTAGTTTATCTTCTAATTTTCTTGTTATTCTTCAATATGCTTCAATATAATTTTAATTAGGAAACTAAGTACCTTGAATAAAAAAAAACAAATATGGTAAAATTTTTATAATTTTATATATTTTATATATGGATGATATTTTCACCACATTTTGAAAACAAAGCATAACTAATAACTACAAGACTAAGGACTGTAAATTTTAGTATTCTTGTTAGATAATAGGTATCACTACCCTCTATAACCCGTTGGTCCACTACTTACGGGACAGCCTGTATATTCATGGTCCATTGTCCAAATGGACAAATTATATCCTTGGTGGGCGGAATGTATAAGTTTGTTAGTTTACATAGAACTTTTAGTACACGAACTACATACTAGATGTCGATATGTTAAAAGTAGACAGCGATATCGTTTAGTTTTGTTACTACGTATAAGTGTAAAATATTTTCTCGGAACAAAACCTTTTATTAGTTCAACAATCCATCATCAGAAGAGAAATGTATTTAAATGTGACTCTGACTATATGAAACTACACTACATAGATGTATAAGTAAATAAATGAATGTCGTTTTCTTTTTCTTCAAATTTAATTATCTATTTTAGTTATTTATTACATTTTTATGATATACTAATTGTCAGGAAACCCTCAGTATAATAAATGATAAAAATATATTAAACGTAGTCCATGTTCTTTTTCATACCGATGACTGTTGGACTGTTGAAAATCGATGTTGTGCGGTCTTTCAATTATATATCGATGGCGAGATAAATTAATAAAATGATACTACATTTCCAATTTTCAACATATATTTATATTTTTAATGTAACAATTTTTGACATATCTATTTATTTTCCTGTAACAAATTAATGCAGGCTGCCAGTAACTGTCAATCTGCAACAGTTGGCAACACTAGTGATATATCATCTATACCCAATTCGAATTCGAATTATCTGTACCAGCCACAGGGTACTGTATTATATTGGTACCAGCGCACAGCCGTACATATCAATAAGTATCTTTCGAATGTTTTTCAGTTTCATTTTATTTATATTATCAGCGTTTAATTAATTTTTTTTTAATATATTTGGAATAATACGATATATATCTAGTACAAAATAATGTCTATTGAAATTGAATCAGCGGAGTAAGTGTTCTAAAAATATGTTTACACATTAATGTTTACATCGTAGTATCTATTTATTTTAACTTTAATGTTTCATTTTCAGTGTGATCCGCTTGATCCAGCAGTATCTGAAGGAATCAAATCTCAATAAGACACTACAGACCTTACAAGTAAATAAAAAAATAACATGTTCTGTTTAAATAACAATTGTTATAGGTTATATACATACAGGACCGCGGTGCCGCCTTAGCATCCACTATATGTGTATTTGATGACCTGCCAAAGTAATCAATAAGACCTAATACATATAATATATCACCGTACCGGAAGACAAGCTAACTAATATCATAATTATTTTTAATGGATAGTGCAGGACACAATTTTTATATTTTATATTTTATTTCCTACAATAGTATTCTGACTTTGTCGTTGGTATGTGATACATTACAGTACACACACACACAAAGAATGTAACAAAATTGTGATGTCTGTATAATCTATATTCTTTTTCAATGTTATCTTAAATAAATTCTAATTAACAGGAGGAAACGGGAGTGTCTCTGAACACAGTGGACAGTGTGGACGGGTTCTGTGCCGACATAAACAATGGACACTGGGACACAGTGTTGAAAGCGACAGCATCACTGAAGCTGCCCGACAAGAAGCTGATGGACCTGTACGAGCAAGTGGTGCTGGAGCTGATCGAGCTGCGGGAGCTCGGCGCTGCGCGCACCATGCTGCGACAAACGCATCCGTGTCTGCTTATGAAACAGAAGGAGACCGACCGGTACATACACCTCGGTTGGTACCACTTTGTTCTATTAGGTTACAGTACAATACTGACCTATATATACCTACCCACAGGATAGGGGTAATTTTTCAAATTCAGCTAAATGGCACAAGAAGTAAAAGATCATCATATTTGTTACAGTTATTTATTTATATGTTTGAGGGACCATGTTTACAATTATTAAAACCTGCAATAAATGTAGTTATATAGTGTAGACTTCATACTGTTTGCCTGGGCACATTGACAGTCATACTTTTCATTTAGTTTAAGTTTGCGAGTACTGGATGTAATGAAATTAAATTAAATTTATTTGCTTATTATACTGTTAGATATTCGGTAATATGTCCAGGTAATAATATTATCGGCGACCGTTTAATCGCCCTAATTTACAGGCATGCAAGTTTTGAGTATATCCTAATGTAATGTTGAGAAGTGAGTGTGAGTTATCGAGGCGGCCCGTGGTGTGCAGAGAACCTGTTGTCGCGGTCGTACTTCGACCCGCGCGAGGCGTACGGCGGCGGCGGCGGCGGAGGCGGAGGCGCAGGCGGAGGCGGAGGCAAGGAGCGGCGCCGCGCGGCGGTGGCGGCGGCGCTGGCCGGGGAGGTGTCGGTGGTGGCCAGCTCGCGACTGCTGGCGCTGCTCGGGCAGGCCCTCAAGTGGCAGCAGCACCAGGGCCTGCTGCCGCCCGGTCGGTCCACCCCTCGCTTACCATACCTATGTTCCATCGCCCTCTCTGAACGAGTCTGTGTCAGGAGTCCATGTACGACGACAGCACTGTGAATGTGAGCCGTCATGTGTGGGCCTGTGAGCATACTACTATATCCGCACTATTGAAGTGTTGGAATGACAGCGGAAACAATAAATCGGGACTGGTTTCTGGTGCTCTCTCTTTTTTAATAAATAGTACAGTACTACTACTGCAACAAACTTTGATTAAATTATTTAAATAACTTTAGAGAACAAACTATATGTGGCCGCACATTATATAAATATTCAATAATGTAACCCCAAAAAAATTGCTAAAGAAAAAGTTTCATTGTTCTAGTTTCAATATTCATGATACAATCTTTCATTTCCTATTTTATATAATCTAAAAGCTTCTAGCTTTGAAATAACAATACTTGCATACAAACCATAATCTTCTTTTTTCATTCAAATCGGATAGGTAGTTTTGGGGTGAAAGCGAAACAGAGTTACTTTCGCATTTATATTATTACATATAAATATTATTATTATCAATATAAAACAAAAACAGAACTTCATGAAATACAAATTTGAATATATTATGTATATGATATTGCTATATGTATATTGCTTGTATCATACATAATGTTACATTTACATCCAGCCGCTTCCCCTGTAACTCGCGCTGCCAGAAATATTGCCGCGTCAGTGTCGACGCGAGTGAGTGTCGTTTACACTCAACTCTCATACTTATTTGCCGGGCGACAACTCAGCGAGAGGGCTGAATGTAAACACACGCTGCCAGTCCTTTGACTCGCGCACGAAATCCGACAATCGAGGAAGCGCCTAGCAGCGCGAGTGGCAGCGCCAATGGCATGGGAAGTATCGTGTTTACACTCTCGCGCTGCTCACGTCCCTGCCCACTCGGGCTGAGTGTAAATTGAGCTTAATACATATAGCTTAATATGATTTTTATAATGACAATCGCCGTGATTGTTTTAGGAACTACAATCGATCTGTTTCGCGGTAAGGCTGCTATAAGGGACGAGGAGGACGACCAGTGCCCGACTCAACTTTCCAAAATAATTAAATTCGGTCAGAAGTCACACGTGGAGTGTGCCAGGTGATTATATATACTGATTAATATATTTCATTAATTATTTTCGATGCATTAATTACATTATTACTAAAGATTATAGAAATTATGGATTATGGAGAGTCATGTGATATGTTCAGTTTAAATTTAATAAAGATATTTTTTATAGATACTGAGAAATAAATGATCTTATTAGTATTTGTCACACTCATTACAACCTTATTGATTGTGTTGTGATTTTCGAGAACGAACTACAAAAACAATCTAAAATAATTGGTGCTGGTGTAGACTTCATAGTAACTACAGAAGCACTCTTTATATTCTAAATTTTGCAACAGTATCGGATATTGGGGCATTTATAAAGCGAGTTTATATAAATGTCGACGATAGGTTCTCTCCGGACGGCCAGTACTTGGTGACCGGGTCGGTGGACGGGCTGGTGGAGGTGTGGAACTTCACGACGGGCAAGATCCGCAAGGACCTGCGCTACCAGGCGCACGAGGAGTACATGAGCATGGAGGAGGCCGTGCTCAGCCTCGCGTTCGGACGAGACAGCGACACGCTCGCCGCCGGCTCCAACGACGGCAAGATCAAGGTACCGCGCACCACTTATATGACCAACCAATGATGTTTTGTAGCTTTGTATTGAATCATTGTATTTTTTTTATACTACGATGATGACAATCAAGCATACGGCCCATCTGATGGTAAATGGTTACCGTAGCCTATGAACGCCTGACACACCAGGGGTATCACGTGCGCGTTGCCGATTGTATAATAATGATTGACGGCCTCGATGGTCTAGCACAGCGCCTTTCTTCCGACGATCGCGGGTTCGATTCCTCGTATGGCACAAACATTTTGTATTCGAGAGTATGATTGTTCGTACCGGTTTGAATGTTTTCTATGTACATATAATGTGTATTTAAGGAAAAAAATATATATCTATGTACTTGTATCAGTTATATAATTCGGGTCTAGATGGCGCTGTGTGTCGCATAATATTGTTTAGTACCCCAGATGCGACCAGCTTTTTGAGGAACTCATTCATTGAAATAAAATCGAATGTGCGCGGGCGCAGGTGTGGAAGGTGTCGTCGGGGCAGGTGCTGCGGAGGCTGGACCGCGCGCACTCCAAGGGCGTCACGTGTCTGCAGTTCACTCGGGACAACTCGCAGATCCTCTCCGCCTCCTTCGACCGCACCATCAGGTACTAGGCACCATCAGGTACTAGTAGTTATATCTAATATTATAACAAATATTTAACATTTTAATTATTTATCTCTTAAACCTGTCATATCTAACGGGCGGGTGCGGTGCACAGGATTCACGGGCTGAAGTCTGGCAAGATCCTGAAGGAGTTCCGCGGGCACTCGTCGTTCGTGAACGAGGCGGTGTTGACCCCGGACGGGCACGCGGTGCTGAGCGGGTCCTCGGACGGCAGCGTGCGGGTGTGGTCGGTGCGCAGCGGCGAGTGCACGGCCACCCTCAAGCCGCTCGGCGGCGGCGAGCCGCCCGTCAACTCCCTGCTGCTCACGCCCAAGAACCCCGAGCACTTCGTGGTGTGCAACCGCACCAACACCGTGGCCATCATGAACATGCAGGGCCAGATCGTGCGCTCGCTGTCGTCGGGGCGGCGCGAGGCGGAGGGCGGGGCGCTGGTGGCGGCCGCGCTGGGGGCCCGGGGCCGGCTCGTGTACTGCGCCGGGGAGGACCTCGTGCTGTACGCCTTCTGCGCCGCCACCGGCAAACTCGAGCGGACCATCAACGTACGTACCCGACGACTGCTCACACTACTCGCGCGGCGAGGATCGCACCGCCGACCTCCGCAGACATTCCTTCATTTCAGGGACACCAACAGTGAATGAAACTATACGTTACTAACATTAATTTATTTACAAGAATTTTAGCTATTTACATAATATAAAAAATAATAGAAAAGTATCTTTATATTATAACGGACGCTCACTTGTCACTTGATGCACTTGTACAGTTTCGTAGATTATTTTAATACATATTATTTCCTACTCCTACTATAAACATAATGTAATGCGATATAAACGAATGAAACATTGATTGCAGATTCACGAGAAGGCTGTCATTGGGCTGACGCACCACCCGCATCAGAACCTGCTGGCGACGTACAGCGAGGACGGTCTCCTCAAGTTATGGAAACCTTAAACGGAACCGTCCCCCCCACCCCACAAGGCATACTAGGATATTAATTGGCGAACGTCGCGCTGATTACATGGCCAGTATGTCGTAATATGTCTAAGTACACATATACCAGACGATGCAACCTCGTTTGCGGAGATCTATATATGAAGACTACGCGACACGTCCGGCCCGCTGCTCGGATGTATACCGTTATAGTACAGGACGTGGCGAGTGGTTGAAATTAAAAAAGCAATGAGAGAAGGAGTGCGGCGCGGCGCGGCTCGGACGCTCGCCTACCGCGCGGTAAGATGCTAATCAAATACTGCACCAAGAAATGTCAGTATTTCATTAATTGCAATGAACATTTATTTTTATCTAAAGACTTTATCGGATATATTTAGTAAATGTACTTTTAAAGGTTCAAGAAAAGTGTAATTAACAGCGTTTACAATAGGACTAGTAAAATGAATAATATGTGTCATGTTAACAACTATGGACTGTAAAATGAAAATTGTCGCTCTCCGTAAACGAGGCTCTACATTCGCCGACATCGGCCGCGTGTTGTTTCGAGTCATCAGTGCTCACTACTGATCAGTCCTACATGTATAAGTTTTAAGTTATTTTTTAATAATAAGTGTTCTATACATACAAACTAGTTTTATTGTGATCCCAAAATCAACCCCAGAGTGAAACTGTAGGAATCAGAGCCATTGAACCTCACTCACAATGCTTTTGATGATGTGAAGAGTGAAATCGAAATAAATAAAAAAAAAGTAGGCCTATAGGTATCGTTGCGGGGTGAGCTCAGTTTAGGTGGAAGGGGTGAACTCAGTTGGGCGGCGCGCGCGGGGTGAGCTCGGTGGAGGAGCAGGACGCGGGGTGAGCTCGGTGGAGGAGCAGGACGCGGGGTGAGCTCGGTGGAGGAGCAGGACGCGGGGTGAGCTCGGTGGAGGAGCAGGACACGGGGTGAGCTCGGTGGAGGCGGGACACACGCGCTCGGGGGCGGGGCCGGGCGGCGGCGGGGTGCGCGAGGGGGCGCGCGCCGACTCGCGGCAGGGCGCGCATGCGGCGGCGGGGGTCAGTGGGGGGGCGGGGCCGGGGGGCGGGGGCGGGCGCGGGGTGCGCGGGCGCGCGCGCGCGCGCCGACACGCGCTCGCTGGGCTCGTAGCGCAGCATGCGGCGGCGGGGTCAGTGGGGGGGCGGCAGGGGCGGGCGGGGCAGGGCGCGGGCGGGGCCGGGGGGGGCGAGCGCGGGGTGCGCGAGCGCGGCGCGCGCCGACACGCGCTCGCTGGGCTCGTAGCGCAGCATGCGGCGGCGGGGGGTCAGTGGGGGGGCGGCAGGGGCGGGCGGGGCAGGGCGGGGGCGGGGCCGGGGGGGGCGAGCGCGGGGTGCGCGAGCGCGGCGCGCGCCGACACGCGCTCGCTGGGCTCGTAGCGCAGCATGCGGCGGCGGGGTCAGTGGGGGGGCGGCAGGGGCGGGCGGGGCAGGGCGCGGGCGGGGCCGGGGGGGGCGAGCGCGGGGTGCGCGAGCGCGGCGCGCGCCGACACGCGCTCGCTGGGCTCGTAGCGCAGCATGCGGCGGCGGGGTCAGTGGGGGGGCGGCAGGGGCGGGCGGGGCAGGGCGCGGGCGGGGCCGGGGGGGGTGAGCGCGGGGTGCGCGAGCGCGGCGCGCGCCGACACGCGCTCGCTGGGCTCGTAGCGCAGCATGCGGTCGAAGAGCGCGGCGGCGGGGTCGTGGCGGGCGGCGGGGGCGAGCAGGGCGCGGGCGGGGCGCGGGGGCCAGCGCGGGAAGGCGGCGCGGTAGTCGGGCAGGCGGCGCGCGGCGGGCCACACGGCGCCGCCGGGGGTGCCCAGCGCGCGGAACACGCGGAACAGCTGGTCGATCTCGCTGTCGCCCGGGAACAGCGTGCGCCCGCTCGCCTGCGGGGACCGACCACCGAGTTACTGTTATCGTTCGACGTCGTATCGTTTTAAAAAAAACATAAATAATATGCACAAACGGCGCTACGTTAATCGTCCTGAGATATTAATCATTATTTAAGTGAAGCGATATTCGGAATTTATCACTATGAATATTGAGCGGAAGGAATAAAAAACGGCACGGAGGACGAACCATCTCTGCGAATATGCACGCGAGGCTCCAGACGTCGACGGCGGTGGAGTAGAACTTGGCGCCGAGCAGTATCTCCGGCGCGCGGTACCAGAGCGTGACGACCTCGTGCGTGTAGGCCCGCACGGGGATGGCGAAGGCGCGCGCGAGCCCGAAGTCGGCTAGCTTGATGTGGCCCTCCGCGTCCACCAGCAGGTTCTGCGGCTTGAGGTCGCGGTGCAGCACGCGCCGCCCGTGGCAGTACGCGATGCCGTCGAGCAGCTGCCGCAGGTAGCTCTGTGTGCAGGTGCTTCACTACACTAGTCTGCACTTCACACCCAGGATTGTATAGATATAACCAATTTTCATTAAAAAAAAAATTGAATATCAGAACAATCCTGGGTAGGGTGGTAGAATTCAATCCAGTTAAAAAAAAACCAAGTGAATTCATAAACTGATTTCTCAGTTTACGGCATCGACAGGCTTCGTGCCTTGATGCACAAAGAACCAAAGGAAATAAGTGAACTTACTTTGACCAGATCGAGGGGCAATGGCCCTTTATTGATGTCCATGAGCCGTTTAAGGTCCATATGTAGAAATTCAAAGACCAGGTAAAGTTTATTCTCTGTGAGCAGCACATCTAGCAGCTGCACCACCGATGGGTGCTTCAGCTCACGCAGCACTGAGATCTCGCGCAATGCAGTCGATGGTACACCCTCAGGTTCACTGCAAATGAAAATTCTTTATTTCAACAAGACATACTCCTGTTCTATCAGTTCCCTTATATCATCAAATTATAAACATATTTCCCTCAACAACGTCGATGGTCTAGCGGTTTAGTTTCCATGCTTGATTCCTCATATGGCACAAAATATGTGTTCATGATTAATTTTTTGCATATCTGGGTGTTTTCTATGTATAATATGTATGTATTTACAAAAAAATGTCTATATATTTGTATCAGTTATCTAGTACCCATAACACAAGCTTTTGCTAGCTTAACTAGATAGCACTGTGGGAATTATCCTGAGATTATTATTAATTTCCTTGGCAAGGTAGTATATTTTTAATATACTATCAAATCATAATCAAATATTAATTTAGGTAGATATCCAATATTATAAAAGGCCTTTTTTTAATAATAAATAATTATTCAAAGAATTGTATTGTATTCAAAGAATATATTTAACTCAGGCTTTATGTGAGATATTGCAAGTGAGACTTGAAGAATAGTTTTATATTATTAAATTATTTATTTATTTTATTTAAAAATAAAACTGTAATTGAAATTAAAGTATAAATTCTCTTGCCACATATACCTGATATGTTTTGTATAAATTCATTATTTGTTATTATAATCTTGTCCTTTAACTAAATTCATAATCTCAGTTTGTGTGGTATTCATATCATAGTGATGAAGAATTTAGCACAATTATTCTGCTTTTATTTGTGAGACCAGTGGACTAGTCCTCATATTTTATAAATTGTATCTACATTATATAGTGCTATCAATATGTTATCTGTCCAATATTAGTGTAGGGGATTATATAAAATAAAATATAAAAATAAACAATATGAGCAGTTTTAGTCAATCTTGCTGCAAGTCTATGAACCCTACATAGTATAAACTATGATATAGAAATTACTTGGGATATGATTTAATAACCTTTATTCAATAGAAGTAAAGTTCAAAAGTGGACAAATAGTTTGAGTTTTAAAGTAAAAAAAAATTTTGCCCATCTTGTGGCAGCTTTTCGAAAAAAAAAAATATAACTGTGACTATTCAAAAGTGCTTAAATTTAAGTTGATTTGAATAAATGATTTCTATTTCCACTAGGTACCATGCAAAGCAAAACCTGGGGATTTAGTGTGAAATTCGAAATTTGTTTTTCGATATTTTCGAGCAGAGAGTTGGACCTGAATGTGTAAAAAGTACAGAATAAATTTATTAAACTGGATATAATTATTTAAAACGGAAAATTGAAAGAAAGAAGAAACCACATACTTGTAATTATTCGCGCCAAAACTTACTTTTCAAGTTTTATTTTTTTTAGTGCGATTTCTTGTCCGGTTGTCCTGTCTCTTGCCTTATACACTACACCATAAGTTCCTTCTCCAATTTTTTCTACTGTGGAATAATTTTCCATTGTTTTAATAAAGTATTTGATAGAGTTTTAACAAAGAATATAAATTATAATGGCATTTTCATTTGATTTCGCTTCAGAATGTTGACTGCTGTGAATCTGATTGACAGAATGAAAGATTTGGTTTCGGTAGTGTAGTAACTTTGACTGACATGACGTATGTGACGCGATCTTGTCAATTCTTGTCAGTATCAAAGTGTATAGTAATTAGTAAAATTATATGCCTAACAGCTATTAAAGTACGGTAAAATTGCGATTTAATATAAAATAATTCATTTTAATGCGCATATTAATAGTATATATGCGCACATTAATATAATATTAGCAGTACTATTGTTAACTAGTTTCTTCTTCTTGTTCTTGACTCAGCTAAAAAAAACCGTATGTTAGGCGTAAGTAATATTTTCGCTATTATTCTTATCCCAATTTATTGTTATTAAATTTTTTTATTATACCTATTTTTTAAGGAGACTTTTTTTGTTTTTAATAAAGAAAATATAACCGTAATAAAAAAAACCAACGAATTAAAAAGAGAAATGTTTTCAATCTAGTTCGTTTCTTTTAGCGCTCTCCGAATAGTTCGTTCACGGACAGATCTTTAGAGATCTATAGATCCATAGAGATTCTATGGGGTGATAAAATAATATTGTAGATTCATGAATACAATACAAGAAAGCAAATACAAGCAGAAACAGTGTAGTAGTCATTTAATCGTATTATAGTAACTTAGTAACATCTATTTAGTTTGTTATGTGCTAGTAATTGTAGAGGGGATAGAAGACAATCGTTGTGTCTGCTCTGTCAATAGAAGTTTTATTCTTTTAAATTGTGATCGAGAATAATGAGCAATTGTATTACATAATTTACAGCTGCAGATTCGTAGGTATAAGTCTTTTAGTCTGTAATATGTAATGCATATTAACAATTAACGGCACCACAATATTAATTAACAGGACTGCAGGGCAAAAAATGATGAATTAAAATTTTGTTCGAAATGCAATTTTGCGTTAGACCATACATTTACAAATACTTTTTTTTCGTGGTTATCCTTTATCACGAATTACACTTTAATACATAATATTGTATTTTTTTTATTGAATTGTTTTCAGTAAAAGGGAGTGTAAGCGGTAATGGCAGTAAATTTAAAACGATTATCTGTCCTTTTGAAGCAATATAAACTTTTCAATTATTCGATGTCACGAAATATTTCAACTACAACTCCAAGAATGGAAAATGTTCTTGAAAATTTACAAGATAACCCTTATTATAATAAGTATGCAGATCGAATAGCAGCTTTACAGAAAACATCTCCAGAAGAATTTTTACAGAGACTAGAAGAACAACAGAAAAATAAAAAGGGAGAGTCGAAAAAAAAGTTTGCTCCTATCGATACCAGGTTTGTGGGTACCTGCACACTATGTTATTAGTTATCTATTTGAATGCCAAGCTCTACCCACAGACAAATCACATGTGGATGATACAAGACTGATGCTGTTCTGAATGCTTGTCTAATTATATTATTTAAAATTAACTGCTTGTAATGATAATTAATGTGGTTTATAAACAGTAGCTATTTCTAGTTAGAAATTCCCCATGACTTTTTGTGCTGAATAGCACAAGTTATCTGATACATTATTACCATTGGGTGGGTTTCCAGGCTGCCATTTCAATTAAACAAATGATATAGTGGTAATTATAACTCAAAACTAAATCATTATTCAATACATTTCCATTCACCCCTTCTGTGTCCAGTTTTCCCCTGAATTTGATAATATTTAAAGTAGGTATGTGAATAACAATTTCTATTAAATAGAAATAAAATGGCAAATATTTTGAACTTGTTTTAATTAAATTAACAGATGAGTATTGTAACTTTTGTTTTCAGTCAATATTCTTCAGTATTGAAACCAAAAGATGCTCTCCAGTCTGATGTTGCCAACGAGGATAAAAAACTTAGTGATATATTCAAAATAGATTTAGTGCAGGATAAAGAAGCATCAGAAATACAAGCTATTTGGGAGGTGTATCATAAAAATCGGGAAGTAATATCGGCAACAGTCCCTAAGAATGTGTATGTTGTGATGCAAGAAAATATGAAGAAATATCCCACTTTTCTATTCCCTTTGCCACGCTCACAGGGCTATGAGTTTATCATGTGCCAGAACTATGGAAGTACAGTACACTTCACACCACTGCTAGCATATCAGGTAGGATAAAATAAACAAGTCCTCTTTTTATTGTAATTCTTTGAAATTAATACTAAATGTCAATACAATTTGAGTAGTGCCTGGGATTGGATGAAATAAGCATTACTAGTGAAATTGTGATACCACTCAGTGAAACTAAGTGGGTTTTGTCATTATAATCCAGTAATTAGTGCCATAGTCACTTAAAATATATATAATATATAAAATATTTGACAGCCTCTGTGGTCCAACGGTTAGCACACCACTTTACTTCCGATGGTTGCAGGTTCAATTCCTCTCACAGTGTAAACATATAACAAGCTCTGCTTACCGTGGTACTAGATGGCGCCGTGTTAATTGTCCAGTTGTATCGCAGGCTGCAGCCTGCACTTTCACTCTGTATGTTAGTGTGACACATTAGTCCTCAGCAATATAAAAAAATTAAAGGTATCATGGATAGCATAGTGGATTTTGTTATGCAAAAGGAAAGTTCATTAAGAGGCCTGTCAACGTGTTTGCTGTTACATGTTGTATAGAAACAGTTTTTTTAAGGTACATAAAGAGAATGCCCCCGAGTGTCTCACCATGGTGCACTATACAGAATTTATTGAGAAAGGAATTATACTTATGAGAGGTGAATATGATAAGGTCAGTATACTTGTTGAGTTGTATTATGTTTATTACATGTTTAAGTGTTCCATATAATGGAAAGTTGATCTAATTAAATAATAACAATTGTTTTACCACATTGGTGGCAATCAAGCCTACAACCCAACTGATGGTAAATAGTTACTGTAGCCTATGGACGCATGAAACCCCAGGGTTGTCACATGCGCATTTCCTACCCTTAAGAAACCTTAAGGGGTTGGTGTAATATTTTTTTCTCTTCCATTCATTAACCAACCTTAGTATACTCTTCTTGAAAACTTTAGTGAATAGTTCATTCCAAATTCCAATCTGTGTGTGTGCGGGAGGAATCTCCCCTGAAACTAAGGGACTCAATATTATTAGTGAGATAAAATAATCAACAATTGCCATGGCACGTCCTTAACTAAGTAACTAGCTGTAATCTGCGGCGCTAGAGTAAAGTGCTAGGGCTAGAGACCGCTGTATATATTATATTTTATACATATCACTAATTACTTTGTGTGCTTTGTTTCAGAATGTGTTGACTGGAAAAGAAGCACAATGTTTGGCAAATCAGTTTCAAATGTACTACAGTGGCAAAGACCAAAATAAGCTGCAACTCTTGGCAAATTTTACTGATCATCCTGACACGTTCAAGCACATGGACCTTATATCGCAGCTAGAAAGTATAACTCTTGTATAAATAGTGTTGGTGAATAGAAAAGAATATTTAAAATGTTACTAATTTGAGAATTAAAAATATTGTAATTGTTTGTATGAGTTTAAAGTATTATTAGATGAATTAAAATGGTCCCGACCACACACAGTACGTGTCTTACACTACTACTTAGTCCCAAACTCGCAGCAAGGTAAGGTAAGGGCTTGGTGAAGTGGCGCCTTTGTCCCACCCTGACATTCGTTCGGATGTTCTTATCACTTTTGCCAGAATACAATTTGATTGTTTCGCTTTATTTTTTCGGAAAACTGTAATGCCGTTTGCCGTAGCTAGCCATTACAGCTTCAGCGTACAATAGGGGACGAGTGCAGATGACACTAACCCATGGTAGGACTTCTGGAGCGGCTTAAGGCTAAATCCTTGTCCCGACGGATACAGGAACGAATTTCCAAACAAACTTTCATCCTCTATTTTATTTTATCCACATAAGGGTTTTACCCCTTTTTTACAAACTTTGAATGTCATATTTATTTATATTTAAGCAACAGCCTATAACATAAGATTCAAGCTTTAAAAATTAATAAGTCCATACAACCTTTCATATCTTCTTTATATCCCTTACAACACTTTTTTCGCATTATTATTGGCGTACCTCTCTCTCACCTGTTTCGGCCACCAATGAGCTTACTGTGTAAGATATGTTTCAGTCGAAAGAAAATTGAGAAATAGAACACTTTGTAGAAAAAGTCAAGTTCCGTTGAAATAGGATCTTGTAATCAGGTACCAAATCTAATTACGATTAATAATTTACATGGATTATTAATATGATGATGTAATTTTTTAAACATTTCTTTTAAAACTCTGGGCTAACAATACTCACTCCTTGAGAGAAACAAGTTACTCTAATTAAGAAAATATATTTATTTAGTTTTAAGGGTACGTATCACCAATACGATATACAGTAATGTACAATGTGTCATGCTTTAATACAATATTATCGGTCTTCAAAATAACCATTCTTCTTTACATAGTATAAAATGAAGTCGCTTCCGATGTCTTTTAAACTATACGCAACAGATTTTAATGCATGTACACTCGTGCGGAGCCAGAGCTGGTAGCCAGTATATTTATATGTATACAGATACTGATTCAACTCGTGCTTAAACTACAATGGTTAGAAATTTAAAATTTTGCCAGTTTATGAATTATAGGATAACAAATTCAGTATACTTAGTGGTATGGAGAACCGCCAATTTTAAAGTTAGTACTATACAATTTCTTATACAAGCATCTGAGAATGTTTGTAAACAAGCTTTATAGAAATAAATAAAATTGTAATTAGGAGTTTTTGAAAATCAATGTTTGTGAAATAGATAGCTAACTTCGGAAGAAAAGGGGCACCACTTTATACATGACGACCTCGGTGGTCTAGCGGTCTAGCATACCGCTTTACGACCGATGGTCGCGGGTTCGATTCCTCGCACGGCACAAACATTTGTAATCATGAGTATGATTGTTTGTATCGGTCTGGGTATTTTCTATGTATAATATGTATGTATTTACGAAAAAGAAACAATTATCTATGTATTTGTATCAGTTGTCTAGGACCCATAACACAAGCTTTAGCTAGCTTAACTTGGGTCTAGATGGCGCTGTGTGAATTGTCCTGAGATTATTATTATTATTATTACATTACTAATAATTTTAAAAAAGCTTGAAACATAGGCAGCAGACGCGATTTGCAATATCAATCCAAGATTCTATCAATGTAAGGAAAGACTGTTGGGAATTTCATTTCAAACTAATGCGTAAAATAAATAAAAATATAACTAAACTGTTACATTGTACAATGTATTTGTAAAACATTTACAATTACACACGCAAGTAAGTAGGTAGGTTATCAGTTTAACTTGTGTGGAAAAAAGTTGTAGTCGGGAGTAGTATGCAGCACAGACTTTGTCTGTACACCCGATGCGAAAGGACTGGAGGGTGAATTCGGTACTTCAATAGTAGTGGAATCTGACATTCGGAATTTAGTGAGTACATTTTGCCGCCGCATATTACCATATGTTAAATACTCAATAGGATTTTCAACTAGAGTGTTTCTCGCTTTATAAGATACTTTACTGTACTCAATATTACTTATTCTCTCTTCACAAAAGCCATATTCCCATTTGTTTATAGAATGTTTGTACAAACTTCGACAGTAAGATTTTGTGCTTGCCATGACATCTTCTTCAAAAAGGCGTGGTGCATTATTTCGCAGATAAATAGAAATATCTTTCATAATTTTTTCATAAAGATCGTAATAATTATTGCGTATACTTCCGGGAGAAAAACATACTTCTGTTGAAGTAGTAGTATCATCAAACGTTTCTTCATCCATATTAACTTCAAGAGGATTGAATAAAATATTGTTTTCAGGGGAATTATCTTCAATGATTTTTTCTATACCTATTTCTCCTCGTTTGTTGCATGGCACAAAAGTTTTATTTAGTATATTATTTACAGATACATTAGTAATGTCGTTATCAAATGTTGTTGCGTAAGTCACTTCTGGACTACATTTTTGAGTGATTCTGGTAATACAATTACTTTGATTTTTCCGACTACTGGATTCAGATTGTATATTAAATCTAGTAACAGGGTTTGAACGAATAATATTTGGAAATATAGATAATGAAAAGCGAGAGAACATAATTTTATTCCCAATCTGTACTGTTGAAACTGTTTTATTTGAAGTTGTAAGGCAATGTTGTGATCTTTTTCTTAATTCATCAAGGCATTTACGAGTTTTTCGTTTCTTGCGTTTTGATAAGTTTAACATCGTTTCAATATATTTAAAAAGAATATTACTATATTTATAGTCAGTTATTTTATCTCAGAGACAAATTTGAAATTACCCACAGATCAGAAATTGCCTAAGTGGCCAGGGTTTTGCAAATCTTAAATAGTGTTGTGCTCTATCGGATATAAGTATTAATTACCAATTATTATAAATGACTCAAAAATATGGGTAGGTGTTTATTTAACATATTAACACAAAATTAATAAAATATAGAATATTGTTGCTTTAACTGATTGCAAGAATGAGTCGCTTAATTCAGAAATAAAGTAATAAATACTATATGTATGAACCGCATAAAAATGTATTTTTGTGTTGTCGAATTCTTAAAATTAAACTATTAAATTAATCGGCTAAAATAGAAAAGTACGATTCAACAAATACGGTATCGCACCTGCGGTTCCTTATGGTAATATTATTTAAAAATTTGACATTTATATCTCTGAATTTAGTCTTAAACACATAATATAGATTTAAAACTATTTATATGTACTTGCTTCCTATTTAGAATATAAAAGTTTTTAATCGTCGCCATTGTTGAGCATAAGCAAGCAATTAATGTAAATGAAAAAAATAAGGATTTTATTTTAATAATAACAAAATTAAAACTGCTCCAGCTATACGATCAATGTGTAAGTAACTCGATTTTATTCGATCTGCCAAGTACTTACGACTTCCAAAAACAAGGTAGCAATCGATACTTCAGAACAACATAAATTAATATACATATGTATATGTTTTTGCTTTACTGGAAATTGTGAACCAACTTTCAATGTATGAATGTAATCACTAGGTATACGTAGCCACCTACATAGGTGACAATGGTGTTAACAGGAAGTGAGCAAGTAATCACTATGTCCCCAAATGTTATGTAATGAAAGTTGGTTTCCAAACCTATATAATATTTATATCATTTGCTAAGGACTTTAGTAGAAAAAAGTATGCTGCATAAATTATTTCTCCAATGATTCAATGGCTACAATATCTCCAACACAATACACATCATAACTGCTGCAGCTTTCTTATCTTAAAATCGGGGTGAATTTTGTGAAAAAAAAAGTGACATATGACTTTGAGTGAATGTCTAGTCCTATCCATACTGACAATTGTCAAACATGAAACCAAAATACATTCAGATTACATTATAGTTTAATTTTAATTTTAATAAATTAACATTCACAAAATAATCGTAATATTTAGAGATGAATACACGTTTATTAAGTATTTTATAGTGTCGCTTAAATGTTGTATTAATGTACTAAAGGTGAGACTGCAGTGCCTGATAATATTTATTACTTGTGTGTGTTGGACAGAACTATCTGTACACTCAATTAAATTAGATGGTAATCACACATTTATCAGTCCAAAACTCTCCTTTCCCCAGTGTAGTATCGGTCGTCCCTTACCTAAGTATCCTTCCATGCTAACATTCTGTCAATCAATTAAATTTAAAATATATAAAGTGCTAATTCTTAGTAGGTCTTACGTGTATGAATTTTATTCTTTTATTGACGACCTCGTTGGTCTTGCGGTCTAGCACACCGCTTTACGACCGATGGTCGCGGGTTCGATTCTTCGCACGGCACAAACATTTGTATTAGTATGATTGTGTATTAGTATGATTGTTTGTATCTGTCTGGGTGTTTTCTATGTATAATGTGTATTTATTTACAAAAAAAAATATCTATGTGTGTATATGTATCAGTTATCTACTACCCATAACACAAGTTTTAGCTAGTTTAACTTGAGTCTAGATGGCACTGTGTGAATTGTCCTGAGATTGATTATATATATAGGATTGTCTTAAAGGTCCGGAGTTAAAATCTGGTCAACATCAAAAACTTAGTGTTAATTTATATTTATGAACGACTTCCGGCGATGAAAACACCGATATGAAGAAACAAAATAAACAGAGAAAATAAAATAAAAAGAAATGTGAATCGGTATAGTGAACCACTAGTTAAGAGTAACCTATTCAACTGCATAAAACTCAACATACTGTTCTTAGTTTATCTTACACACACACACACAGTAACTTACAAGATGTTATCAGTGTTCTAAAAAGGATATATAAATATTTAATTAAAATTCAAAATCTGGCCTGAGTTATAAAAAAATATTCTACAACATGAAATTAAATTGATCGCAAAATTTATCAAAATTTGTTCAGTAGATAAAGGATATAGAGCTGTCACATAATCAATAATAAATTAATTGGAGGATTTTTATTTTCACTTAAAACAAAAACAATTTTACGTGATTTTTATAGAATTTTAAATTGCTACAAATCGAATAAAATTATTGGCCTCGGTGTACGTCATATATGCGGCACCTCATATAATCAGTTTGGCACCATGTAGGTGCGCGTTTGGGAGCGAAGCATGGCGAATGGTCTGCGTGTGGGTGTGGGAGCGGGCGGCGCGCGGTGACCGGTCTGAGCCGCGAGGTCGCATGGCGGAGCTCGAGCCCGGCGGCGGCGGCGGCGGCGGCGGCCAGCCCGACGCCGTGCTGCTGGCGCCCCTCACCGAGGACACCTTCCTGCACAACCTGCACGTGCGCTATAAACGCGACGTTATATATGTACGTCACACTTTGTTCTACTAGTTAACCTGCGAACCACCATAAACTAGGAATAGTTCGTGAGTTTATTTGCATAGTCATGATTGAGTGTGGGCTTAATAATGGAGTTTGTGCTTCTTGGATGCAAATGCTGTTTGTGCTAAATATGCTAAATTTTATGATGATCGGTTACACCTTTAGTATAACTTATTCCTTTATAATATTAAATATCTTTTAGTCTTACTGTATTGATAAGAAATACTCTTTCCTATGAAAGACATGTGATAATACATTCTGGCTGTGATGCACCATGTGTTTTGAATATAGAAATAGGACTAATCTTTCTTCAAATGAACTCAGTACATGGACTTTTGAATAGTCATATTTTTGGAATGAAGACACAAATTGATATATAATATTGATTACTAGCTACTCGCCCCGGCTTCGCACGGGTGTACATGTATTATATATATAAACTTGAATATTCTTGAATTGAATTCAATCACTCTGTCTATAAAAAAACCGCTTCAAAATCCGTTGTGTAGTTTTAAAGATTTTAGCCTGCATAGGGACAGACAGTGATGGAGACTTTGTTTTATACTATAGGTAATAATGATTTAGAGATGGTTATGTTTTATCTTATTGTTAGCGGATTCTACAATATAGTCACTGAGGCGTCGCATAGAACTGCCGACAATAAGAATTGTGTGGTCGCGCCGTACGCGCTGTGTGTGTGAGCGTGTGCGGCGGGGTGGCGGTAGTGAGTGGGGGGCGTGTGCCTGCAGACGTACGTGGGCAACGCGCTGGTGTCGGTGAACCCGTGCCGGCCGCTGCCGCTGTACTCGGCGGAGCTGGTGCGGGCGTACCTCGCGCGCCCGCCCTACCAGCTGCCGCCGCACCTGTCAGTACCGCACCGACGCTACACGCTGCGTTTTAGCTAACTATACATTTCTATATTCTTTTTCTACAAAACCGCTTATGGCTTTAAAATGACGGTAACGTGAGTCGTGGTGTTGCAGAAGTTTATACATTAGCCTTACGGTTCACGAGTATTTTTTTATCACCGTGAACTAGCTACTCGCCCCGACTTCGCACGGGTGTACATGTACTATTATATATATAAACCTTCCTCTTGAATCACTCTATCTATTAAAAAAAACCGCTTCAAAATCCGTTCCGTAGTTGTAAAGATTTAAGCATACATAGGGACGGACAGACAGCGACAGCGACTTCGTTTTGTACTATGTGATGATAACATTTCTAAAATAAAAGAAGTGTATGTTGTTCTTCATAACATTAACTATCTGTAAAAAAAGGTATTTAATACAAAATGGAAATAGGTATAAAACTACTGCTAATTTCTAAATTACGCCTTTGTGTTAATATTATACGTTGGTGGTATAATTTGTGATCATAATATTTCAGGTACGCTATCACGGCCACCGCTTACCGCTGGGTTCGAGACAGGAATGAGAGTCAGTGCATCGTAATAACAGGTAATGCTTCCAACATCCAATGACAACAAAACTAATACTTAGTATGTGTTACAACCATAACTATAGTGTACCGCACGTCACAGTACTGCCATCACTATTGTGCACAGCTTCACATCTATATAATAATAGTTGTTCCCGCGACTTCGCCCGCGTGGAATTTAACTTTATTTTTCTAAAATAATAGTAGCTTAAGTCTCCTTATTATATTAGCTACCTGCCAAAAAAAGTCCCGTCAAAATGGGTCCAGCCATTTTAAAGATAAGCCGGAACAAACAGACAGACAAAAATTGTAAAAAATGTTGTACATACCGTATTTATATTCATATGCATGTAGTAAAAAACGGTTATTTCAATATTACAAACAGACACTCCAATTTTATTTATATGTATAGATAGAGTTGCCAACCGTCCTGTTTTCCCAGAACATGTCCCAGTTCTGGAGGTGTCCTGGGAAGTCCTGAATAGTTATGTGTCATCGTCTTGGGTTTTTTAAACATGCGCCCCTCTTTATTACTGATTTTCAACAGTATAATTGTATCAAATACTTTTTATTAATAACCTGATTATATTAATTACTTGAATAATACTGCATATTAATATAACTATTGCAACACTATCACTGCGTTCTGTTTTAAACTGGATTGTCCTGGTTTTTTTACTTTCAATCCTGTTTTTTTTTAATTTGGTCTTGGCAACGCTAATATGATGCCCAAACATAACATTTTTCCTCCAGTCCACACAAGCAACATGTAGGCTACACTGAAGCAGCGTGTACTCACATTAACAATGAATCTATTTGGCTAGTAGTTCGATACTTATAGTTATCGTGTGTGCGCAGGCGAGAGCGGCGCGGGCAAGACGGAGGCGGCGCGCGTGTGCCTGCAGTGCGCGGTGCTGGCGGGCCCCGGGGGCCCCGCGGGCGGGGCGGGCCCCGGGGGCCCCGGTGGCGGCGGGGGCCCCGCCGACGCGGAGGAGGGCGCGGGCGCGGCGCTGGCGGCGGCGGGCACGCTGCTGGAGGCGTTCGGCAACGCCGCCACCGCCCGCAACCACAACGCCAGCAGATTCGTAAGTCACCGCCCCCACACGCACTCACCGCGCACCGTACCACTAATACATTCATTATGTTTTTGGGTTACAATTCATTTGCTCTAGTATCATAGAGCAAAAATATTGTGACCCAAAAACACAGGGCGAATTTAAATGCAGACTGACAATCTGCATTTGACTTTAAATCGTTAGCTACATATACTGAATTTGCATTCGTAGACTTTAAATTTTATCAACGTTTTTATATTACAGGGGAAATTGTTAGATATAGAGCTCGACTTCAAAGGAGATCCAGTCGGGGGCCACATAACGCATTGTGAGTACCCGCTTACATAATATAGTTTAGTTAAACAATAAATTAAATCATCGTGACATATTTTTACAACCCACTAGTAAACCTGTATGTATATGAATGGGTAATATTATTAAGTATTTGATAATAGTTCAAATTTCATATTTCATTACCTATATAATGTGACGTCACGATATTTGCTCTCCCTTTTCATACAATCTTCCCCTCAACGTGTTACGTAACTTATTACGGCTGGATTATACTCTGGGCATATAGACTCAGTACTCATATTACTAAATAAATCTTTTTCAAAACAAATATGTTTTTGTGCACGCAGACCTCCTGGAAAAGGTAATGTAACAGTTTACTGTATGCTTAGAGGCTATGAGCATTCTTTAATCGGGTTATATACATGCCACCTTATACGGAGCGCAACGTGAACAACGGTCACTAGACGTGTGTGTTTGTCTTTATTAAATGTTTAATAATAATAATCTTAGGACACTTCACACAGTGCCTTCTAAACCCAAGTTAAGCTAGCTAAAGTTTCTGTTATGGGCACTAGACAACTAATACAAATGCATAAGTTATTTTTTTCGTAAAGACATACATATTGTACATAGAAAACACCCAGACCGATACAAACAATCATACTCATGAATACAAATGTTCGTACCGTGCGAGGTATCGAACCCGCGACCATCGGAACTCTGGACCACCGAGGCCGTCGTCTTGTGTACATAATCCCAAAATTTATGGGTTTAAATGGTAGGATTTGTATTTCATACAAATCGCTAGTTTGTAATATAATATAATAGAGTGGTTGTTGTGTAGGAGCGTGCGTGCGGCGCGGCGGCGGGCGAGCGTAACTTCCACGTGTTCTACCAGCTGCTGGCCGGCGCGGACGTCTCGCTGCTCAGTGAGTACACGCCCCCACACCACACACCACACTACAGATTACCAGACTACCTATTACACCACACGATTCCACGCACGTTCAGGAGCGCACGCAACACTAAGTGATCGCATTAGACGATTTTTTTTTCACTCCTCCACGCGTGTTTGCTCGTGTGCGACTTTATACTACCGAGGCACATTTAAGATTTATCAATAATTCTATAATTATGTCCGACATTTTGTAGTGATAATTCTTTATTAAGAAGGCGCGAAAGTACATCAGAATGAAAAACGCTAGAAGACATGAGAAAGCACAGCCTGGCAGCGTTCACGTTCACATTTACATGCGTAAAAGAGCGTACGTGTACAGGTGACTATTATACAGCAGTTGAAATGGAAAGCGAGCTGTGCTAGATCTCACACCCTCACCTTGTCGGGAGCCATAGTGTTACTACTCAGGATATGCTATTATTGATCAATTCACGCAGTTAGCGGTGGGCTCGCTCTCTTCCACGTCATATTCATATATACTGATAGAAGTCCCTGACCATCCTTTGTAGATATAGAATTTTCATTGAAATAATTGTACTATTTCAAAATTTTAACGTGGATCTGGCGAGTGATTTGTAACGCGTGTGCCCGTGGTCGCAGAGAGACTGAAGCTGCAGCGGTCGTGGGAGCAGTACCGCGTGCTGCGGGGCGCGGGGGCGGCGGCGGCGGGGGTGGCGGGGGCGGGGGGCGCGTCCCCGCGGCGGGCCCCGCCCCCCGCCGCGCCCGCCGCGCCGCCCGCGCCCCCGCCCGGCCCGCGCGCGCCCCACGCTGACACGGACCACTTCGCCTTCACCAAGGTGACCACACCACATTACGTTAATCCACCCACAGATTTATTAATTTAATTTTTTAAACGACGCTTACTCGTTTGATCGCCGCCGTCTTCTTGCCTCGTATAAATCGGGACTTCGACAATGTGAAGTCTTCAAATACGAATAGAGAGGATATCAGGTCGAGTATCAAAAATCTTTACTCCGAACGTCTAAGAAGTTGTCGTCTCCGAAATAATCATTTTTGTAAGCCACCCTAATGGCAAACGAGCGTGCGACAAATCTGATGATAAACGTTTTAACGTAACCGTATAGACGCCTGAAACACCAGGGATTAAGAAACCTTAATATAGCCTTCTCAAAAATTCCATGCTGGAATCTTTTGGAAAAATCTCGGCATGTAGTGTATACCATAGTCTCACAACACAAATCAAATTTATGTGGGAGGAAGCTCCTCTAAAACAGCACTGTCCGACACAAAAACGTACCTGTGAGCAACAATTCTTCAGAACACAATCCATTGTATATTAATATATTCATTTGAGCACACAAAACCAAGAGAAGTCTCACTTCAAACTGATGTAACTGGTTCTCTACCGCTAAAAGATCTATATCATCGACAACGCTCGTATCACGTTTCTGAACAGGTCAAAAGATAAAATATCTTTTGATGGTCCCATATTTTACAAAGCGTGTACAATACGAGACTGTAGCTGTGCGTACGTGTGTATTCGGCCGTGTATACATGAATGCGTGCGTGTTTGCGTGCGTGCGTGCGTGCGTGCGTGCATGCATGCGTGCTTACGTGCGTGTAGCGTTGAGTGTTGTGCGGCGTACGACAGGCGGCGATGGCGACGCTGGGCTTCAGCGGCGCGGATTGCGGCGCGATGCTGCGCGTGCTGGCCTTCTTGCTGAAGCTGGGCAACGTGCAGTTCGAGCCGCAGCACAACATCGACGGCTCCATCGGCGCGCGCCTGCACCAGCCCTACGGTGCGTGTGGTCACACCTCCTTTACCTATAATTAAAAGGTTATTAAGTCAGAGAAGTCCATTAAAAGGTTTGTTGATAGGGATTTAATTATTATATATTTGTTTTAAAATTAGTTTTATCTATTTCGAATTGCAATGCCTTTTATATGTACAACTCTGCCGATAGGCGTCTTAGTGTTTGAATGGATTGAAACAGAACTGCGTTTGATTTAATACAGGAAAGGGCGAGTTTTTATCTATTTTGTTCTAAAATGTAGTCCAAATATTTTGTAATATATTCTACTTGTAATTGAACCTATAACATACATTGGTCCTAAAAATATATTTTTATATTCGTCAGATTTAATATTACAAAGACACTTCAGATTTATTTACAAATTCTAAACAATTTGCTTCGTAGTCAGATGTCAGCCATCTTGTAATGTTAATTATTTAATAAAAAACGCGTGAAAACACGCGGGATTATGTAAGCGTACTGCGCGCGTGACCTTTCTCGTTCTCTGTGTATACCTTTACGTATACTCTTGCGTGAAAGGGCGAAAACGTATACGAATAAAACTAACGGCACTGTGGCCGGCGCTGCAGAACTGACGGAGGCGTGCTCGCTGGTGGGCGTGGAGGCGGGCGCGCTGGCCGCCGCGCTGCACGCCGCCCCCGCGCCCCGCCCCGCACCCGACGGACCGGCCACCACCGCGGACACCGCCACCCTCGCAGGTACCGACCCCCCCTTAAATTTAATTGTAAAGGACTGATGTCAACTGACGGAGGCGTGCTCGCTGGTGGGCGTGGAGGCGGGCGCGCTGGCCGCCGCGCTGCACGCCGCCCCCGCGCCCCGCCCCGCACCCGACGGACCGGCCACCACCGCGGACACCGCCACCCTCGCAGGTGTGTTCGGCCGTGTATACGACCCCCCCCGGACTGATGTCAACTGACGGAGGCGTGCTCGCTGGTGGGCGTGGAGGCGGGCGCGCTGGCCGCCGCGCTGCACGCCGCCCCCGCGCCCCGCCCCGCACCCGACGGACCGGCCACCACCGCGGACACCGCCACCCTCGCAGGTACCGACCCCCCCCGGACTGATGTCAACTGACGGAGGCGTGCTCGCTGGTGGGCGTGGAGGCGGGCGCGCTGGCCGCCGCGCTGCACGCCGCCCCCGCGCCCCGCCCCGCACCCGACGGACCGGCCACCACCGCGGACACCGCCACCCTCGCAGGTACCCACCCCCCCCCGGACTGATGTCAACTGACGGAGGCGTGCTCGCTGGTGGGCGTGGAGGCGGGCGCGCTGGCCGCCGCGCTGCACGCCGCCCCCGCGCCCCGCCCCGCACCCGACGGACCGGCCACCACCGCGGACACCGCCACCCTCGCAGGTACCGACCCCCCCCCCGGACTGATGTCAACTGACGGAGGCGTGCTCGCTGGTGGGCGTGGAGGCGGGCGCGCTGGCCGCCGCGCTGCACGCCGCCCCCGCGCCCCGCCCCGCACCCGACGGACCGGCCACCACCGCGGACACCGCCACCCTCGCAGGTACCGACCCCCCCCCGGACTGATGTCAACTGACGGAGGCGTGCTCGCTGGTGGGCGTGGAGGCGGGCGCGCTGGCCGCCGCGCTGCACGCCGCCCCCGCGCCCCGCCCCGCACCCGACGGACCGGCCACCACCGCGGACACCGCCACCCTCGCAGGTACCGACCCCCCCGGACTGATGTCAACTGACGGAGGCGTGCTCGCTGGTGGGCGTGGAGGCGGGCGCGCTGGCCGCCGCGCTGCACGCCGCCCCCGCGCCCCGCCCCGCACCCGACGGACCGGCCACCACCGCGGACACCGCCACCCTCGCAGGTACCGACCCCCCCCCGGACTGATGTCAACTGACGGAGGCGTGCTCGCTGGTGGGCGCGGAGGCGGGCGCCTAATAACATATAGCAATAATCAATTGGCGGAACCTTTTTTTTTCAGTAAACCGTAACGAATATCACCAAACCAATTTAAAAAAAGTTGTTTCTTTCCGTATTGCACTGTACATAACGCAATGTTTTCCATTTATATTTTAGCGTCAGCGTAATGTTTCTCTTACTCACTAGTAAAAGAAAGGAGGCCACTGCCTCCTGGATGACATCAATCCTCGTTACACATTATACACAAAGTACACTTTAGTTATGTATGTACTACTATGCAAATATAATATAATTGTTGATATTTAGATTCGGAGAGTGGATGCGAGCGCGATTGGGAGGAGGCGGAGGAGGAGTCGGGCGCGGAGGCGGAGGAGGAGGAGGAGGAGAGCTGCGTGGAGTGGGCGACGGCGCTGCGGGACCGGCTGCTGTGCGCCGTGTACTCGCGCCTCTTCACCTGGCTCATCAACGCCGTCAACGACAAGATCAAGGTCCGTCCCTCCGTCTACTACACGCCGTGCACACTACATGTCCAATAATATTAAGACCTCGTATTTCCTAGCTAAACACTTAGGGTCCAGCTTAGAAGTTATTTATCCTGTGTTTCGATACTAATTTATTGACGTCAGGTTGCCGTTGTTATACATTTATCACCTTTGGCGCTTTGAAATTTGAGGAGTCTTTTTATAGCACGAGGACCAACGAGCTTGAGGCAACACCTACGAAATTACAGGAGAATTGCCGGCAACAAACTGATTTTACCTAAATGTCGTTTGGCTAAAGTTAGTAATTCGTTTTATGGCAATTGCGTAAGGTTTTACTTAAGGATGAAATTAGGGAATAGATTCAGTTGAGGTTCCGTACGACGAGGCGCGTCGACATGTGAATGACGATAGCATTTACCGCCACAATTACATTTTCTTTATCAACTACAAAAACGTATTTGCCCGCGTCGCTTGATCTCTCTCAAACGAGGATAATGTCACCAAAAATCACTGAATCGTCACGATGTTATCAATTTGGTGAAACGGATATCAAAGTGTTTGTGCGTCATCGAAGTTCCAATGAAAGGATTGAAAGTTTAAAAGCGACGGTGTGTGGGCGTGCGCAGCCGGCGGAGGCGGGCAAGCGGTGCACGCTGGGCATCCTGGACGTGTACGGGTTCGAGTCGCTGGCGTACAACGGGCTGGAGCGGCTGCTGGTGAACTACGCGGCGGAGCGCGTGCAGGCCGCCGTCACCGCCGCCACGCTGCGCCGCGAGCAGGAGGAGTACGCGCGCGAGGGCCTGCCCTGGCAGCCGCTGCCCTACCACGACCACGAGCTGCAGGCCGAGCTGCTGGACGCGGTGAGTGCGCCCCCGCCCCCGCCCCCCGGCCGGGCGCCCCCCGCCCCCCCCCCCCCCCCCCCCCCCCCCCCCCCCCCTCGCTCACCCCGCTGACCCCGCGCCGTGTGCAGGGCCCGGACAGCGTGCTGGGCGCGCTGCGGGAGTGCACGTCGCGGCGCGCGGCCGACGCGGCCTTCCTGCAGCGGCTGCAGCGGCGGCGACACCCGAGGCTGCACGTCGTGCCCCCGGACCACTTCCAGTAACTATGACGCCCCGCCAGTATATGGGACACAGTTACCTAGAAATAATAATTGTATTTAATAATGTCTAGTAAGACAAATCCAATGTTGTGTACTAAGCACTACCGTGTCTAAACTGTGTCGCCCCACCTTACATTTTCCTATTGTCATTTAGTATATAAGATCAATAGTCTATTATCATCATCTATAATATACATCGTCTCGACTAACAACCCCGTATTATTAACTCGCAACAGTGAATATAAAAGTTTGCATCGTTCGAGGATTCAACCCGCGACCGTCAGATATAAACCGGCGGTCTTCATAAATCTATTGATTCACATATTTCCCTACTTTAAATAGTCATGCGGTACATACATACTTGCTCACCGGAACATTTGATTTAAAACTATTCGACGACTTAGAATCTCAGGGCGTCCTATGAGATACGACACCCAATCTTAATCGCTGCCATGTTCCGAGATAGTTTACATGTGGGTCTCGGATGGACTCTGAATGGATCCGTCTGCCATGCACGAGGTTTTACATGTGGGTCTTGGATGGACTCTGAATGGATCCGTCTGCCATGCACGAGGGTCCGTCATTCCCAGTAGACAACAGTGAACCGTTTCCACGAAGGATCGTGCACTTCGGCGGGCCGGTGACGTACTGCGCGCGCGGCGTGGTGCGACACAACGCGGACGCGGTGTGCGCGCGCGCGGCGGCGGCGCTGGGCGCGGCGCGCGAGCCGCTGCTGCGGGCGCTGTTCGCGGGCGCGGCGGGCGCGGCGGGCGCGGGCGCGGCGGGGGCGGGCCGCGGCTCCCCGCGCCGCCCCGCCGCGCTCGCGTGCCGCCAGCGCGCGCTGGTGGCGGCGCTGGTGCGGCGGCTGCCGGCCGCGCCGCGCCTCGTGCGCTGCCTGCGCGCCGACCCGCAGCTGCGGCCGCATCGCTTCGACGCGCCGCTGCTGCGCCACCAGCTGCGCTCGCAGGGCATCCTCGACATGGCGCTGCTGCGCCGCGCCGGCTGGTGCGAGGCCATGTGCGCGCGCGCGCTGCTGGCGCGGTACGGGCTGCTGCGGCCCGCGCGCGCGCCCCCCGCCGCCCCCGCGCCCGCGCTCGCCCGCGACGACCCCGTGCGCGCCGCCCGTGCGCTGCTGCGTCCGCTGCCCATACCCAGCGCCGAGTTCGCGTACGGCCGCACCAAGGTGTTCATCCGGAGCCCGCGCACGGTCAGTACTGCACCGGTCGATGTTTCGCGGAGCGTTTCGCCACTCGAACGGAACTAGTGGTGTATAGATAACATATGGAACGGTCCAGGTGTGGGAGCTGGAGGCGCTGCGGGCGGCGCGCGTGGAGCGGCTGGTGGTGGTGCTGCAGCGCGCGTGGCGGGCGTACTGTGCGCGACGCAGGCTTCGACTACGGCACCGTGCGCAACGAGTCATCGCGCGTGCCTGGCGTGCATATCGGGTCAGTTCGCTCACGATTTGTTTATAATAGTTAAAATATAGGTGGGAAAAACTGTATACTTGTATTTGAAAAGATGCTATGTTTTAATCGATATTTAATTGTTTTCGATGTGTCTCGGTGCAGGCTACGCGCGAGTTGCCCGAGCGGCAAGCACTGCAGCGGCAATTACAGGTGAGTTCTTTGCAACAGTTGCTTTTACACGGCACGTTCTTTTACGCTACAAAGCAATTATGTATCCAAATGGTAATTTAATATTACATAGACGCAAATTAGAGTCAGTTAGGAGTGGGTCGTGTACGGTGGCAGGCGCGGCGGCGCGTGTGGTCGCTGGGCGGCGGCGCGGCGGCGTGGGCGGGCGGCGTGGCGTGGCGCGCGTGGTGCCGGTGGGCGCGGCGCCGCTACCTGCGCGAGCTGTGGCGGCGGCTGCCGGCGCGGCACCTGTCGCCGGCGTGCGGCGCGTGGCCGGCGTGCCCGGCGCCGCGCCTGCTGGGCCGCACGGACGCGCTGCTGCGGCGGCTGCACCACCGCTGGCGCTGCCGCCTGTACCGCGCCGCCTTCGACCAGACGGCGCGCAACCGCATGCGCGAGAAGGTGACGGCCAGCGTGCTGTTCCGCGAGCGCAAGGCGACGTACGCGCGCAGCGTGGCGCACCCGTTCGTGGGCGACTACGTGCGGCTGCGCGCGTCGGGCGCGTGGCGGCGCGGGCCGGGCGCGGCCGGCGACCGGTACGTGGTGTTCGCGGACGTGGTCGGCAAGGTGGCGCGGTCCAGCGGGCGCGTGGCGCGCTGCCTGGCGGTGGTGTCGACGGCGGCGCTGCTGCTGCTGGACGCGCGCACGCTGCGCCTCAAGCGCCGCGTGCCCGCGCCCGCCGTGCACCGCCTGTCGCTGTCGCCGCTCGCCGACGACGTGCTGGTGGTGCACGTGCGCGCGCCGCCCGCGCTCGACTCCTCCGCCGAGGACCTGTCGCACTGCGCCGCCAGGGACGCGCCCGACGCGCCCGACGCGCCCGACGCGCCCGGCTGCCTCTTCGGGGTGAGCTCCCGCCTAGTCGGCGGTAGTATATATATGTCGAAAGTAAAGCAAATAATGAGAAGATATTTTATATATTATATAAATTATTTCTTTCAATCATAACCTAGATCCGCATTACATCTAAACAACAAACCGTTCTGCTTTGCAATTACATTTTACATTTCCTAAAAAAAACATGCGAACCGGTTATACACTAGGAAGCGGAAAATCCTGCATAATAGAAAAGTTAACATAATCTGATCATAGGAAATATGAAAAGTTACAATAATAGTACCGATTTGGAAGTTCGTGGGAACCGAATGTTCAATCTGCAAAATTATTCCAATGTTTATAGAGAGGACCATTGTCACTTATGAGAAAGTCTGAACAGACTTTGAGATCATATTTCTATTGATATGAATCCTATCGATCGTAAATCGTATCGTCTGTAATCTCTTTACGTATTTAATCTATACATATAAATAAAATTGGAGTGTTTGTAATATTGAAATAACCGTTTTTTACAACATACATATGAATATAAATACGATACATACACTAAAATAACGTTTTTTACAATTATTGTCTGTCTGTTTGTTCTTCCTTTCTAAAATGGCTGGACCGATTATGACGGGACTTTTTTTTGGCAAGTAGCTAATGTAATAAGAATTAGCTTCTTTTATTGTAGAAAAATACAGTTCAACTCCACTCAGCCGAAGTCGGGGTACAGCTAGTTAACTATAATTGAGTTAGGGTTAAGTTGTTTGGTGTCATGTCCAGGGTGAGGGCGCGCGGCGTCGTCGCGGGGACGTGATGATGCGGACGTGCCACGTGCTGGAGCTGGCCACCAAGCTGTTCCTGGTGGTGCAGAACGCTGTGGGCGCGCCGCCGCACGTCAACATCGCCTCCGAGTGAGTCCCTGTCCATACCACCGCTACCACTCGCATCTCTTTCTCTCTCTACATTATATCATAATCATAGCAAAATGAAACGTACGCTCTCGTTTGTCATTGTCTGTTAGATAGATTGATTTGAGAAGAATTACTAAATGGAAAGGTCCACGACTCTATCACTAATTCTGACTTCAATAAAGAACAAACTTTATAATATGTAACGCATACACTGAAACGAGGTTCTGGTCATTTGTGTGGGAGTGAGCTGTTAACTGTGCGTGGTGCAGGTTCGAGGCCAACTTCGGCCAGCAGGCGGTGACGGTGGCATTCCACGTGGTCAGCGGGGACGTGTCCGGCGCCGACGCGCGCCTGCTGCGGCGCGGCAGCCGCATGGACGTGCTGCTCTGATGGCTGCCGGCGCCCCGTCCGCCCCTGTCCGGCCCCCTCCGCTCCTGTCCGCGCCCTCCCGCCCCTGTCCGGCCCCGTCCGCTCCTGTCCGACCGCGGCCACCTCATCCTCGCGGCGGCCGGCCGCCCGGGACGTCCGCCTGCCGACCGGACGACGCCGTTGTCTCGTTTGATCGAAGTATTAATTATTGAACGTTGAATTGTTATAAGTATAAAATATGATTACCTCGACAGGGGAGCGAGACCTCGACGCTGTCATTTGTTGACGCCAGCGGACCTCTAGTTATATTTTACCAGATAATTATATAATTAAGCATTCGATTATAATATCAGACCGCCAAATTGCGATTATCCAAAGTCCAAAGCGAAGTAGTTATAAGAGAGAATTACTATTACAGAGTGCATTATGAAAATAGTATCTTTAACGATTATTATTATTATAAAATCAGTTATGCCGTAAACGAACGAGATGGATATATCTGATGTTAATGTTAAAATCGAAAATTTTTACACGTTATATGTATAGTACATTGACATGAGAATTATAGTTGTTGTGGGCGGTCGGTCTCAGTCCACAATCCTCGTATACCAACGACTGTTCTGTGACTGAAACTGACTCGACACCGAGACGTTTGCGACTCGTGCACTGCGTGTTCAGTCGTGTCTAGCATACGAGTGTGATCAGTGCGGGTAATTTTTAAGTACTCACCAAATAGTGTAAGCGATGAAAGTCGGTCGACGAGTCTCAATAATATAATATTAAGTTTAGCAATAGAGTTGCACGTGCGATCTGTTGCACTGTAGTCGGCCACGAGCCCCGGGTGCCGAGGGAGTGTGCCGCGACAGTACCGAGGCGACCAGGCGGCGCGGCCCGCTCCCTCCGCCGCCGCGGCTCACGAGGCCGGGCCCTCTTATGATAGCTAGTATTTAATAAGTACCCACCTTATCTAGTAAGCGATATAAGTAATTACACACAGCCGTACGTACGGTCTAGAACCTTAGAGTGAAGTGAGTTTGGCCGCGTGCTGACCGACGGCGGGTGACGTGCCTGCGACATCATGTGTCGATCGTGAATATGATGGTGTTCGTGATACTTATAGATGTAATAATATCAAATATTGTTATTGTTTTATACGTCGGTCCGGTCGTCGCATCGTTGGATGCGTATTGGACTGTTACAGAACTAATTTACCGTTAACTTAACTTCCTCTCCTGCTATTTAGAGATACATCCGCGTACATACTCGTACGTACCCACGTTACTAGTTTGCTACATTTGTGTAACTTTTATTTATATGTAAATTTGAGCGTATTTGACCGCGATCTCACATGTGGATGTGATCACGCACTTGCCTTACTTCCGATTGTGGTAGCTATTGCGAGTACGTGCTACTTTATATACTGTAGTATTGTAAGTTCGGACTTATATTTTTAAGTTATGCGTCGAATAAATAGAACACAAGTAAAACTAAGTTGCGTTAACTTATACGACACTTACGGCAACAAAAGAGTACCCGACAGAGTATGGTTGTGTGTACGAGTAGACAGGTACGGTCCCCTCTGATTAGCACGTAGCCGTGAGAATTAATATTCTCACAGGGAAATTGCATTCAATATTGTGTACAGCATTAAAACAAATTATTATGAACAAAGTTGTCGATAGTGTCTTAACAATTTATATATTAATTTAAATAGAGCTAGGTTTAACTCTCACCGGATATCGGTGTCTCGTCATGCACAGAGTTATAACCATCGACTACAAGTATTACAGATAAACTAGACCAAAGACAATAGTAACACATAGTACAGCTGCACTGTGTGCCTGTAAATTTAAATAACGAAACGTAAGAATTGTAACACATCGTAAGCATATAATAATTGATGACTTTATCCGCGGACATGATTATTTATTTATAAATGCACATGCAATAAAATTACATACAATGAATCAACATTACACACATGGACTCTGTTTAAAGAGTATAGCAATTTTGTAGATGACACATTTCCAAAATTAAAATTAAAATCAAGTCTGTTGTAGTGTCTACTTAGTTTCTACAGTACGTCTGCTAAAAGTTATTTTACTGTATAATAAACTTTTTCGGTCAGTAATTCTTTTGAAGCATTTTTTTTTAAATAATTTTACCTTCATGTTGTATGGTCCGGGATGTTGTTGTATATTAGAATGATTCGGTAATAGGGACTAGCATTAAACATTTCTATTTTAGGTTCTGGGAGGACTCGTCGGCTGTTTAATCTATTATTAGTTTTAAAATTAAAATATGCTATGATTATGTGTGTGTACTCGCACAGTAGTGTAGTGTGTCACGACCACGTCTCACGAAGCCGGTTTTACCTCCACAGAGTACTGTGCAACTGGGGTACAGATATGGAATGCAGTTTCCCGGCACAAATCTTGTAGAACACTTATTCCTTAATTAGTACTTAACCATTTATGATACGATTCTTCCAAATCTTATAGATAGGACGTGTTGATAATAATCATTGTAAAATAACGCGAAACGATATCGCCAACAATCTGAAAGTGCCAAAACTCGAGTATAGTAGTGTGGTGTGAATGCGTGTCAGTTGACTGTTGGCTGCGGTACTTTGTGAATAGTATTGTACTACGTACTCGAGGCCGCCCGGCCGACGGCCACGGTCGGGAGCTCGGCTTGTTGTGTTTAATGCGAGCTCGAGCGGCGGACGGGCCACCGTCGTCACCGTCGCCACCACCGCCACCACCACCACCACCACCACCACCACCACGCTGACCGCACACATCAATAATGTAGTACATCTTATTTGTTTACCACCACCATCTATGTTAGTTAGTTAGGTGGTAATTGATACACTAACACATGAAATTGGCGTTCTGTAAGGGAGTAACCTAAGTCGATTTGCTCCACCTTTCCTTCGAGCCTGCAGCACTGGTGTCACGGCGGAACTCGTAATCGCATTAACGCGATATTTTAAATTTTCCATTTTGTAAACTGAGTGAAGTAAGGGTGCGATTGAAACTGGTTATGTCATGTTAATGTGGCGGTGGCGGCGACATGTCGGGACAGATCAGGGTTGCCACCTTTATTTTTTGCAGTTAAAGTACATTGGTACAATAAGTACAATATTAGTACATAAAGTACAATTTATTTTAATTTATTATTATATTTAAAAACACATTTGTATTGCTTTTTGCAGTTTGTATCAAATTAGTATCTCTACTTAATAATTGCGCAGCATCTTTACAGTCTATATTTAAATTAAAATAAATAATGTCGATTCAGTCAGCACCAAATTTCGTTTAATGATTTTCAAACTCCCAAAGAAACGAAATCATGTGAAATAAAGTATTTTCGTGTACTTTATTATTCACATAAAGTATAAAGTACAATTACCTGAAATAACGTAGAATACTTTATTATAAAGTACTGGTGGCAACCCTAGAACAGTTCCCCGGAGTGGCGGCAGTGGCCCGGCCGCCTCGTCGCTCCGCTCCTTGCAGAGTGTCTATTGCTGTTGTATTCCCTGTTTGTTGTGTGCGACATCTCGGCTGTCGGCCGCCGCACCACACGCCGCACGTGCTCTCATGTGCCTTATATAATCCAATTATATAACGGCTATTACGGAACAGATACAATTTACAAATAGATTTCTTTCCATTTAAGACGAATCCGCCGGTAGAGTTGGTTGTTTTTCATTATATTCTACCCAAAACATTATATTCTCGGGAGTAATATTTAAGATACGTACGAGAGTAAGCCTAAGCGTACACAGAGACGCAGATGTGTGCCCGTGATTGCGGGTCTGCGCCGCCTCGTGCGTCACCTACACTTTGTATTTATTATTAATTTTCATTACAAATCGTACCTTTTATTTTCCAAGTTAGAAGATGAGCTTATTTTTATACAATCGTTCACTGAAATCAACAATTTAATCAATAATATAGTCCGGTCAGTCGTATACGCTGAAATAACATTTGAGTGCGTCGTGAGCCCTTGTCAAAATTACTCGCCTGCGATTGGTGACCGGTGTCGTTTAATCTAACACTACGCTAACGCTTAACTGTTGTATTTTTCTTAAGGTTGATAATGGAATGGTGCACCCGTCTGCACTAACGGGTCACGCTGGCGGGGCACCAGTACAGTATGATAACACAAACATGAGAATAGGCCAGTTAGCCCATTGTGGTAAATCTATCGTGATAAATTTACCACAATGGTCTAACGGACCTATTCTCATGTGTTTCCAGGAGGAACCGCGTGGAAGTCAACCTAACATGGTATATTGCTAGCAATGGGGTTATTGGTCCACATTACTGTTCAATTACTAATCCCCTTCATCCCTAAAGGTGGATTTTGATGTGACGTGACATGTGCGTCATGACGCATCAGAACGGTATCGGCTTAGTAACGTAACGTGCACACTAGTAATGCGTTATTGTTGTGATAGCATCTGTTGTGTCACATCAGAAACGAGTTTGGTTGAATCAGAGCGGTAGGGTGTGGGAACGGCCCGTCATGACACATCAGACAAATGCACATGCGACAGTGAAGTGTTGTGACGCGTCAGAGTTCTATATTTCCTTTTATTACGGCTGTAATGATTTTAAATATCGTCAGTAGACGTCTGAACATGTTATATTAATGAGAATACTAGTAATAACCTCACGACACGACACGTCACGACACATTAGACATTAGTGTATTGTACGTGGCTAGCGTTATTTTGCGTTGCGTTGTGTTGGCTGCGTGTTACGTTCCCGTGTGGTGTGGGTTGCAGTCCGGCCGACAGCCCGGGCATGGATAGACATGCTCAATATGCCGTTTCTGATGATTACGTTGTGTTACCAGTAAACAAGTAAATAAATTATGGGAAATGTTTTATTGTTTTTAATAAAATTTGGAAAAATAATCTGTTTTTATTTATTACTTTACCACTGACCTCCAAATATATTTTTGTAATGTAAATTGTATGCAATAAAGTCTTGTCGCAAATTTTTATTGTAATGTTTTGTTTTATGTGGTGATAATACACACTGCACTTACTTTGTTTGGGCTTGTAAGTGTGATAAACAAACAGCAAATAATAATAATCTCAGGACAATTCACACAGCGCCATCTAGACCCAAGTTAAACTCAACTCACTAAAGCTTGTGCTGGGTACTAGATATTTTTTTTCTTAAATACATACATATTATACATAGAAAACACATATACCGATACAAACAATCGTACTCATGAATACAAATGTTCGTACTGTGCGAGGAATCGAACCCGCGACCATGGGATGTCATAAATAAAGATATTTTGAATTGAATTGAATTGAAATACACTGTACCCGTGTCTGGTAGGTATCTCACTGGTTGGCACTGGTTTGTTGATTGGTTACTGACGTGGCTACAAATAAACAACGCACTATGGATATTTTAAATTTTATTCACACAAAGTAGTTACAAGTCTACTCAACATAATTTACAAAACAGTATTCAATATGTAGATACATCACTACTGTAACTATATAAGTATATATAGGAATACGAGAATATAAATTATACTAGATACCTAATTGAATAATATTTTACATCTAAATATTAAATTTATTAGACCTACTATATATTTCATAGAAAACAGTAACAATAGGTATGGATAACTATGCTTTGCAGATGTTCTGGCAACAGTGGTGTAAATTAGGCAGTAGGTACAGGCAGGGGCGGATCTACCTACGGGCTATATAAAGGCCCCCAGCCGCCACTGAAAATAACAGGCGATATTTAGATTAAATCTATAATAATAAAAAAAACCTATCATAAGGTTGAGATTAATCAACCCATGGATGTGCGCGTCTATCCAAAGAACAGTAACTCCCTGTCACTTGTTTTTGTCTGTGTTTTTTTTTAGTAATATAATTAAGTAGGCCCCTAAGTTTTATTAGGCATATTTTAGGTATGCGGCTGAGGAGAGAAAATGGTGTCTTATATCTCGATCAAGAACAATATATAACAAATGTCTTGAACGACTTCGGGATGACTGACTGTAAACCAGTTAAAACCCCAATGGAGCTAGGTCTTAAATTAGAAAAAGCATCAAATTCGGAATGCGACTTGCCATATCAAAATTTAATAGGATGTCTTAATTATTTAGCTGTAAATACTAGACCAGACATAGCACATGTTGTTAGTTTATTATCTCAATTTAATTCCTGTTTAATGAATTACATTTCAATTGTGCTAAACGTGTTTTACGCTATTTAAAGGGGACATTGAATCATTGTCTTTCTTTTAGAAAATCGAAAGATGTTAATTTTTATGGCTATGCAGATGCGGATCGGGGTGGGTCTTATGACAGAAAATCTTTTACAGGTTTTATTTTCAAATTAGGCACAAATATTATATCGTGGGAAAGCCGAAAACAACAATGCGTATCACTCTCCTCAACCGAAGCAGAATACGTAGCTCTGTGTCAAGCCTCAAAGGAGGTTGTATATTTAAATAATATACTTAACAGTTTACTTAAGAGAAGTAGTAAGCCAGTTTTGATTTATAATGATAATCAATCTGCGCATAAAATAGCTGCAAATAAAATGAATCACAATAGGACTAAGCACATAGATATAAAATATCATTTCGTTAGAGAGGCAGTGGCTAATAATAGCATTATAATTAAATACTTACCGACCGAAAAAATGATAGCAGATATCTTGACGAAATGTATATCAGGTCCGAAGTTAAAGGTAGTTGTGACTCAAATATTACAAAATTATTCTGTTAAGGGGGCGGTATAGGTCCAACAGAAATTGTTAGTATTTTAACAGATTTAATTTTGGATATGTTTTTTGCTAGTAGTTCTATTGTTTACTCTTCTGTATATTGTTTTATATTATGTATGTTATTTAAATGTAGAGATGTAGA